ACCTTCTTGTCTTTCTGTAGCAGCGTTTTTGAGATGACGCGAGACATTCTGCTTCTACCGTTGAGTTTTTTGGCTATGAAAACCTGGTGGTCAGTGTCCAGGGTGTTAGTTTTTATGACACTTATTTCTCTCCTGGGAGACAAGCATCAGTTGCCTCATGATAGACCCAATATATTTCAAACTAAAATAATTTTCTTTTGTTTTCAAGACTTAAATGGAAGGCAGGGCTGCTAATGAAAAGGAAAGTTGAGTAAACACTCTCTGCGGAGGTGAGATGGAAAACGTGGCCCGACTGAAGACACGTTGGACAGCTGTTTCCTGGAACCTCAGACAAATAGGATAATTGCCTGCTATTCTGGAGTTTTATCCTATTTTTTGCTCATACAAAGCTTAGAGATCTTCTCTGTCGATTGTGGTCTGTGGGTGTAATTAAATTAAACATGAAGTGACGAAGGGTGTGTAGGCATCTATTATGCCAATATTATGATTGTGTTATTTGTCTTACATATTTTCCCACAATTTTTGTATATTCTGTTAAAAACACTCCAAAACAAGTAGACATTTATGCTGTTTTAATCCGTAATTCATCTGAAACTGTATTCTGGGAATGTCAAGTTGCGTCTTTGTATCATTTGGTGAGGGCAAGGTGGTGAGTGTAGTGAGAGAACCCAGACGCTGGAGGCCGTCACGTGGGTCGCCCTACACAAGTCTGTTTAGAAATGATGGTTCTGTAACAGAGACACAGAAACAGAAAGCGACACTTATGGGAGGATGGGGAGCATTGAATGGATGGACGGGGAGCATTCAGTGGGAGGATGGGGAACATTTGATGGACGAACGGGGAGGATTCGATGATGGACGGATGGGGAGCATTGGATGGGTGGACAGGGAACATTTGATGGGTGGATGGGGAGCATTCGATGGGTGGATGGGGAGCATTCGATGGGAGGACGGGGAGCATTCAATAGGCAGACAGGGAGCATTCAATGATGGGTGGGCAGGGAGCGTATGATGGATGGACAGACATGAAGTACTCGATGGGTGGACGGGGAGCATTTGATGGACAGACGGGGAGGCTTCATTAGCAAAGAAATCTATTTCATTGTGATAATTTTCACGTATATCGTCAAATTTTCCTCCTCTTCAACCCTCACTTGCTCCCCCCCTCCCTCTGGTGCTTTTTTCTTCTTTCCAGTTCTTCCCCTGACTGCTCTTATGATATGCACGTTATATAATGTGTATCCTCGTACCTTCTCTCTGTCTCTCTGCCCTCTGCTCTTTAGATCTCATCTTCTTGTCTAACAGTTTCCTTTCTACTCTGATGCCCTATATATACACATGTGCATATATGCATGTCTTACATAAATACACACATGCATACATTTAAATCAACACTCCACACATGAGAAATATTTGTCTGAGTCTGGCATGTTTTACTTAAGATGATAATATCTAGATCCATAAACTTTCTTGAAAATGTCACAATTTCATTCTTTACAGCCAAATGGATTCTACTGTGCACATGGAACCCCATTATCTTTTAATTCATTCATTTGTCGTTGAACCCCTGGGCTGATCCTGTATCCTAATAATGCAGTAATGAGCTTGGCTGTGCCAGGGGCTAGCCTGTAGTTCTCTGGGTGTATAGAGACAAGAGTATAGGAGCTGAAATGATAGCTCTGGGTTTAGTTTTCTGAGAGAACTCCATACTTATTTCCATACTGGCTGCACCAGTTTTAGTTTCCTCCTGAGGTGGATGAGGTTTGTTTGTTTGTTTGTTTGTTTATTTATTTTCCTAAACAAGCTTATCAGCACTGTTGTCATTTGTCATGTAGATGAAATCCATCTTGATAGAGGTATGATGGAACCAAAGCAACATTAATTTGCATTTTCCTAATGCCTAAGGATATTGAATGCTATTTGTTGCCTAAATTTCTCTCTTTAAGAACTATTTTTAAGTGTTTTAGACAATTTAATGATTGGCTGATTGTTTTATTGGTATTTAACATTTGGAATTCCTTCTAGAGGGTAGATAATTCCTGCCAGATGCATAGTCGGCAAAGAGTTTCTCCCATTCTGTGGACTGGTCTTTTCAGCCTGGCTTGTCTGAATTATTTTTTAGTTATTCGTATATAAAGTTTCTGCATAGCACAGGAAAACAAATCAGAGGGCAAGCAGCCACAAAATGGGAGAAAAAAATCTTCTAGCTATACAACAGACAAGGGCTGATAAACAGAATTTCAAGAAGAAATGTAGAAATTTGATATCAAGGAAACAAAACTGCCAACTAACAAGTGGGCTAATGAATGGAAGAGAGGTTTCAAAACAAGAAACACAAATATATGGCAACAATTTTTTAAAATGTTTAACATGCCAAACCATCAAGAAAATGTAATTTGAAACTTTTGAGATCCCCCCTCGCCCTGGCCAGAATAGCATTTATCAAAATCCCTGGCAAGTACTGGAGAAGCTGTCCAGAAAGGAGCCCCTATTCACTGCTGGTGGGGTGCACATGAATGCAACCATTTGTAAATCAATTTGGAAATTCCTCAAAAAACTGAAAATAAACCTAGCACATGACCCTGACCCAACTGATTTACTCCTTGGCGTACACCCAGCGAACTCTGTCCCCCCCCCCACTCCTGTAGAGATGTCTGCACCCATGATGATCCACTCTCTTCACTATAACAAGGAAATGGAGTGGATGGGTAATGAAAACCTGGTACATATAAAAGATGGAATACTATTCAGCTTTAAAGAAGTGAAGCACAAAATCACAGAGAAGTGGGTGAACTTAAACTGTACTAATTGATATTAATTGAGGTCATATGACACCAGAAATAAAAAGAACATTTTTTTTTCTCATGCAGATCTGTCCTATTACAAGTATTTGCACATGTAAACAAGTACACATGTGGTTAAAGTATGACATGTAGAAAGAAGAAAATAAAAGATAAATATTAGGTAACGAGGAAGGATTAAACCCACATGCACACATTAAATCATGGACAGGGAATAATGAAGCCAATAGAATGCTAATTAATTGTTTTCCTAGGCTTAATTCCATCATTAATTTTTCAAGTTTTTTTATGTTGGATAAATCCACAAAAATATAATTAGCAGTAGAAGCGTAAGACCCAACATGAGTCTCCACAGCTTCAGAATGGTTGCTCGAACTGTAGAGAAGTTAATTAAGATGGTCTGGTTAATCTCCTGTGTGATGTTTTATATTTACAAGTACTATGCAAAAAATTAATTATGAACAAAAAAATCATTTTCCAATCTCTGTGAATGGATGTCTCAAACCTTTTCTGATGGAGCCTTAATAATAGATGGAGACACATCCTTTAGTGCAGAATCATAAGCGAATTAATATTAGAAGTATGAAACAGTAATAACAGGAAGAACATTGTGTCCCTCCACGAAGCTGCCCTGGTGGGGGGAGCAGCTCCTGTGAAGGAAACTGAGGCAGCTGTGTGTGATAACCATGCAAGTATTCCATTCCTATTAGATAACACTATTTCCATGTCTTGAATTTTATACATGCATATTTTTACAAACAAAATATGAAACATATTTTCCACTGATAGAAACATTACGGTTTTGTTGTTCTGCCTACTTGCAAGGACATTAAAAAAATACTGTTTTAACACTCTTGTGAGTTAGCTGTCCAAATAATGCCTTTTCCGGAAGAGGGGTAATGGAGAGAGATTAATTGACATAGGAAAAAGAATCCAGCCATTATTGTCTTGTCTTCTCTTTGCCAAAATTCTGTGCATCCGTCTTTCCTGGTTCCACAGCCTGGGTGTGATGAGATGCCTCTACTTTGTGATTGGTCTTTGGCCTTTCCTTTCCCTGCCACTGCAGATGCTCCTGATGAGTCCGTTAGTCAAGGAAGAACTTGCATGATGGGTACCACTTTTGTATTTGCCCTTAGAACTGGCTAGATGCCGGCGTCCCCTCCCGGGATGCTGAATTTATTGCTGAGAGAGAAATCATTATTATTAATGTATACCAGAGATTATCAAACTCTCTTGAGAAGCTATGCCTTCCATCTACCTCACAGGGAAACTCTATAATGTGTGTTGGCCTGAAACTCGATTGGCATGCTATACAAAGCAGAGGCCTATATTTCAGCCCTTCAATGTATAAATAGACACTAGCCATTTGTACTTGGGTAGTGAACATATTGATTAACTGGTTTATAGGTGCAGATATTCACATCAACATTCCTCTATCACAGGTAAAGAGGATCTGGCCTGAGGGTCTGAGAGAGGACAAATTCTTGCAGTTCTGAGACACAGTTTGATTTTTGTCTTAGGTATTGCAGGATCTGGACGGGATAAAGTTGATGGGGTCTAAGATCAGACTAGGATGGGAGATGGACAAGAGAAACAAATTAAAAAAAATAAAACAACCAAACAAACAAGCCACAAGCCAAGCCTTCGTAAAATTTTTCTTCTGGGGTGTGCTTGTTTTCAGAAATTACCTCTGCTAAATCTCCTGTCGGTGCTGAAACTAGAAGGCAGAAAAGCTTCTAGTCCTCCAGCCAACTGCAGTGTAGCCAGAGAAACAGACAACCAAAATAGCACACCAGGATTGCTGGGCGTGGGTGAGGCAGAAACCACATTATGAGCAAAAGCTTCCAGTGTTATTTTAGAACCAATACAGCTCTGCACTTCTCTGCTCTCTCTTCCAAAAACACATACTACAGAAATAAAATGAAATGTGTGTGCATTCTCCCTCTCTGAGTTAGGATTCTTCTCCTTTTTTTTCTTATTTCCTTTCTTTGGGGGTGCGATGCCGGTGTAAAAACCCAGTATGGAAAGCAAGCCGAGGAAGGAAAGAGTTAATTGCTTTTAAGGCCCTGCAATAGAGAATTATGGTTTGAAAGATAGAGGCTGGACAGCTGGCTTTGCTGGGGTATTTTTAAATGCATTAATGCAGGCTCCAATCACTCGGCCATGCTTGACCTATTTTTGGCTCAGGCCGACCATTGTTCTATTTCTGTGCCTGTGGGCCATGCTGTTGTTGATTCATATGCAAATGGATTATCACTAGCTTTAGCCAACTTGAGCTGAGAGAGACTGAGAAAGGGAAGGGAGAGAGGCACAGACAGATAGGAGGACACCCTCTGGAGCCACTTGCAGGGTGAGGAGCTCGTCTTGAAACCCTACCAGTCCAGGAGCTAGGCGCCAGGTTTAATTGTTTTTTCTTTCTTTCTTTCTTTGTTTTCCCCAATGGGTAGAGTTAATATTTTTCTATTTATTCTTACAAAGAAATAACCCTGAAGCACATTCCTGTTGCCTGCCTGCTTTTAGTTTCCAGGATAACCTAAAACTCCAGCAAGCCATATAGCATCCACTGCTTCCTGCTTTGCACACAGGTTGGTAACTGGGGGGGAGAAGAGCCCAGGTCTCTTTTTAAAAAGGGGTATGTCCATCTAAGCAGAAAGAAAATCATTGTGGAAGTTGATCCTCCGCTTGCTTGCTGTTTCTCCTCGGGGAGGAGGGAGGACCAGCCAGGGTAGCTCCTGGGACCAGAGCAGGCAGCCGTGATGGATGTCTCACGGAGCTGAAGTAAGAGTGACCGGAGCATGCTGCAGACAATTGACGAGAGTGACTCCTGTGTTTCCTCAGATGGAGTGGCCGGACGAGAGCAGCTCTTGGCTCAGCAAAGAATGCACAGTATGATCAGCTCAGGTATGATCTCTCCTATAGCTGGGATGTCTGTTTTTATGTTTGGGAAGGTTGGAGAGCAGGCTGGTAGGGAAATGAGGGGAAAGCAGCTTGCTTAAGGAATAGCTTTTTCCGGTGTGATGTTGATGTTTTGTTTTTCTCCTGGTACCTTTGAAGGGTTTCACTTAGATCCTTCCCTTACCATTTCCCTGCCCATTCTGAGTGGGTTTAAAGAAGGCTGCTTCTGAATGAAATTGCAAAGTATTGCTACTGATTCAAGAGACACTGAGATAAGTAAAAGGACCGTGTTCGCCTTCTGGGCAAGGAGAGAAAGGAGCCCTGTGCCCTGGGCTGATTGTGAACGTCTGCTAGTGGGACTTAAGTTCATGGTGGGGCTTCAGTTGAAATCGCAGCTCCAGCCGGCCGGATGGTTTTCTGTTTACAGTGTGCATTCACAAGCACAACTATTTATAGACCTACTTTCTGAAGTCTGTGTCTGCGGAGTTCTCAGGTACTTTTATTCCTTCCCTAATGTGGCTTTTTCTCTGAAGTTCAAAGTGAATCTGTTTTGGATGGAATAGAATTATTACCAGATGCTTATTTTAATTTACCCCCAAACACTTGAGAAACCTAACATTGCCAGGCAGGTGCAGTGGTACACACACCCATGCACACACACACACACACACACACACACACACACACACACACAAAGAGAGAGAGGGAGAGAAAGAGAGAGAGAGAGGGAGAGGGAGAGAGAGAGGGAGAGGGAGAGGTGTTAAAAGCAGGTGCGATGCTTTGTCAAATTCTACTATGCAATGTTCCTCCTTGTTTGAGCTCTCAGAGACTTATAGATGGGACACAGCTTTGACCACTTCTCTGTCTACTTCTGTTAAAAGTTCATACTCTGCAGGCAGTCTGATTTACCTTGATTACTGCTGTTTGTTGTTTGTTTCCTACAAGCAGTTCATGAAGCTTTTGTTACTCTGCTCTTGTCCTCTTCCGAGAGCTGTAGCCTAAACTGGTTCTTCCTTGGAGCTTCCGTGTTCCCCTGTGGATCTTCACTCTAGATCACGGCCTAGATGCCCTGATAAGACTGTCACATAGAACAGCGTTTTCCGAGTACACTTAAGTAGGAGAGGACTATTCCACAGGTTGGCATGAAGTTGGCTCCCAGGCCCATGCACATTCCCATCTGTGGGTCCTGTTTAAAGCCAGCTCTCGGTAAAGCTCTGCTCGCGTGATGGGTTTTCAGATCCTCTGTTTACCCAGTCTTTTTATGGAATCATAATGAAATGTCAGTTTTGTAAAATTTGGTATTCTACACCAGTGTCACAGAAATCGTATTCCTGAGCAATCTCTATTTTGCATAAGTGAACTTGCTAGAACATCCGTGGCTTATTTTCACTGTGGGTGCAAGTGGGCAAGGGCTGGGGAGGAGTTAGCAGGTGTGTCTGGGTGGACAGAGCGCTTAGCCTTGCAGTTCTGAGACATCAGTGAACACTGTAGGGAGAACTGTTCTAGCGATCTCTTCAGTACCACGATAACCTTTTAGTCTTTGCTTCTGATATATTTCTTTGAAAAACTAGAAACATAGTCATGTCCTGCAAGTAACGAATGTTAGCTGACACTGGGCTAGCCACACGTGTGTTAGCAAGCTTGGCTCTTTTTCCTTGATTTTGAGAACCAAACGACTTGACTCAAATCGTCAAAGTCATTTGCCTGACAATGAGAGATCAGTATTCAGCATAGCATTTTCAAACTGGAAGCCTGGAGACTGCTTGGCAGCTAGTCCCACCTGCGGCAGCATCAGGCACCAGTTCTAAGTGAAGAGGAGTGGTGTAGCTCCGTGGCGGCCCAACAGTCTGGCACAAACAGGGAAGATCTAAGTTGTACTTGTTTTTAAAAGTTAGAATACTAATTGCATTAATTAATTGATTCCTATGGTGCCCTATGATATTTGACTTTGCTTCAAAAGTGTAACCTTAGATTTCATTCACTCAATCTTTTTTTGTGCATTTTATTTCTGAGGCATTGGTTCTGTATCGTAGAGAAACCAAGCACATTTCCAAGATACAATGCTTAGATTCTACCCATGTTGTTTCTCTTTTAACTGGTTTGCAAATCTCCTCAGCTGTTGTACCTTTAGCAAACTTAGATCCACAGCAGTAGCACTGGGGAGTGGATGGTTGTTCCTGGTGAGCCTTCACCAGATTATTTTCTTTCCCTTTGTCTCATGACTAAATTAGAGATGTGTTTCTCTTGATAGAGTTACAGATCTTGCTTTCCTCTCTCTTGGACCATTGACCTGGGTTGGACTCCATGATACGAAGTGCATAGTGACTGATGGATAGGACACACACACGTGGCACACACACGTGTGGTGTGGGCATTGAGGTGCTGTCCGAGAACTCACATTCATGAGCCTGCTGTCCGCTAGTTGGGCAGTTGAGTTGCTCAGCTTCGAATAATCACAGATGGCATGCACTCCCTGGCCTCCCAGCATCCCTGTGGGGTTCACACGTGTAGACACATCTGCAAAGTGTATGTGTCTGTGTTGATATCATTTCAAGTGGAGGAACATGACCCTCTGGTTTTGCCAAACCATCCAGATGAATTGATTGTCCATGAAGAAATACTTTTTGTTCTGTAATCCAGTTTTGTTAATTTTTTTTATAAATCTGTTGTTTCTTTGGATAGCTTGCTTTCCTAAGAATGAAATCTCTTTCTTGTGTGAATCATGACTATGTATCAGGGTAGGTTCATATGTGTGTGTTCTGTGAAACATCTCATAATATAGTAGTCACGGACAAAGAAGCTGGTGAGTATGTGCTCAAACTGTGAAACTCTGAAAGCTACTCACTAAGTTTAGTTATGTTCAAAAGTTGGTTTTATCAGGCAGTATGATTAGCGATGTCTCAAGATGATATTTGTTGTTGTGGTTGTTATTAGCTCTTTGTGTTAAAGTACATTATTTTTGTACAGAGAACTTGTATGTCATTGAAGTGCAATTTTTATATATAATTGCATGTTTCCCTAATAATGATGGTCAGGCTAGACATTAGGTAGGATTGAGATGGTCTGCATGTATCACATGGTCTGCTAATGTCTCAGTTTAAAATGTTCTACAGTGGTCAATTCTGAAATCCATCCAAAGCGATAAATTCTGCCAAGTGCTTTCCACTTTTGGGGCTTGTGTGGACGAGTTACCAGTATTGGCTCAGGTCTGTCAGCAGGAGTTGGCACAACGAGGGGTGTTTTCCTGTTGCCAGGCATGTTGCTTGCCATGTTCGACAGCAGGAATGTCCACTCAAGGTTGGACAATTTATGAAGGAATTGCTCTCTGCTAGAATTAAAATGAAGAAAATTCAAATTCACTATGTATTCCTGTTTTTAATGACATACAAACATTTAAGTCTAAATTTTAACACGTTTTTATTAAGATGTATCTTCACCTCTCCAGAGCCTACCATCTCTTGGTATGTTATATTGAGGGAAATGGACCATTCTGGATTTAGTAGTCAACGGTGTCTATTTGAAAGGTAGAATGTAATTATGAGGATGTCTGTGAAAACTATCGTTCTATGAGAATTACTTCTTGAATGACATTTAATTGCTGTTTTGCTATTTCCTAACTAATGCCATGTCACCTTTAAGTCTATTATCAGTTGGAATATTTGATGGTACTGGAAAATAAAGATGAGGGTGTCGTGTTTCTGAGGCTCATGCAGGTAATGTAATCAAAAATGTGTCCATTCAGTAAGAGCATCCTCTAAAGCCCTAGGATGTCTGAGAGAATTCAAAATTCTGAACTTAAGAACATATTCTAAATGATGACTTTGAATTTGGAGATACATAGTATGATGACATCCTTTGGACATAGTTCCTCACCCTGACTGCTACCGAAGTGGCCCAGAGAGGCCTAAGCTGGAAAACAAACACAATCCATTAGACACAGCATTCAACAGAAGCTGCACAGAATTAATAAGAAAAGATATGTGCTATGTAGCATGGCTCCAATAATTAGCCAAGGAAAACTCTTAGAATTTTACTTTTAAGTCAACAAGTTCCTAAGAACTCCAGTATTCCCAGAGCTGGAGAGCAGCAAACTGAAGGATAGTCTCAGCGTTTTGGGGTACCCTTCTTCTCCCACATGCCTGAGGCATGGTAGAAGAAATTATGGAAGAAAAAACTGGTAAACTGGGAGAAAGGATTCAAACATGGCCTCTCTAGAGAAATACAGGCATATAAGGAAGGCCCTGGCTGAGCTCTGAAACAGGCAGTTCCTGCCCAACTAATCTTAGGGTTTTGCCAAACAGAAAAATTTCAGAGTTTGGACCAACGATGTAGTCTAAGAATTGCTTCCCAGAAACAACACACCTCAGTAAGAGCATAAATCCCACAAAACAGTAGCTGAAAGGAGAGTGGTAAAACTACAGAATGTGATGAAAAGGGAGATTTCCTTCTAATGAGATCATCTACGAATGGCAAAAGCTTGGTATTATAGAACAAAATTCATCATTAGAAATAGCTAGAAACTGACAAGGGGAAAGATTTGAAAAAGGAAAGTGGGCTAATGTAGTTAGAGAGAAGGAAACACAGTTGAATGGTCAAGATCAACAAATGAAGTGGCTATTTGCATCCCAAAAGTCAATATTTCAAAACATAATTCAAAATAATGCATGTGTATATATCACAAAAATGAAGAAAGATACATTCATTGAGGAAGAGAAAAATACTTCAGGTTGAAAGAGTTTCTCACCTTTTGGGAAAATTTGATGCAAATCTCTAGACAGTCAGTCATACACTGATTGGGCTATTGAGCCGAGAAAACTTCTTCAAGGCTTTGGATGGGTGGCTACAAGCAGTAAGGTCACAGGGGGGAGGAAAGAACTCAATGGGACTCAGGAAAGCACATCAAACTTACCCAGTGCTCAACATCAGAAGACAAAGAAGAAGCCATGTGTAGTGGCATGAACCTTTAATCCCAGCATTTCACAGGCAAAGGTAGGCAGAGCTCTGTG